CGCAAAGGAATAGAATGGATATGACAAAAGACCCAGGTAATAGATGTCACCCACAGAGTCAAATCCCTCAAATGGCTATGGGCAGAATACCTGGCAAGAGGAATGCGATCAACATGAACTTTAATCGGGACGGCGCACAATGGAACGAGTCCATGTTAAATGTTTGACATGGGGCTAAATTTTTTTTTGGGTAAATGGAAAACTGAATATTGTAGTTTCAAAAACAAGTGTCAGGCCTCTCTTAAAAACTGATTTTTAGAAAACAAAAATGTATTTTGTCGTTTTTACATAGGTTTAAAATTAACCGTTTTCAAAAAGGCTAATTCATGTTGAAAATATTACCACAATTTGATTTTTTTATTGCCCAAGCTGCGGTAGGTTTTTTAAAAAATATTATTTTTTTAATTTAACTCGTTCTTTGTTAATGAATTTTTGGCAAAATTTTGTACATACATCTCACCAATCACCCACTATATATTTTTGAATTAAAAAGTTTTGAATGTTTATTATAGATCTAATCATCAAGAAATATAAAGTAAGTGCCGCAAGGTACCATAAAAAGAATAGCGGCATATAGTAGACCATTATACCCTTATTATACACTTATATAAAAAAGTTGCCCCAATTTGCCGTTTTTTGAAGAAACAAATTTTGAACTATACGATGGATACTATTTCCAGGGGCTTTTAAGTAATTTACATAGGTTGAACATGTCTGGCTTTAAAAATATATTGTTATTCCGATATTATTATTAGGTTAGGATACATCTACGGTTTTTATTATTATAAGCAGAACTATTAAAAAAATAATTCTCAAATATGACTTGTTAATGAGAAATTAGTGTTCACTTTACTATAGTTATTTTCCTAACAAATGCGTAAAGTGATACTTTCCCGCACGCCTTATTTGACATTTACCCTGACATTAACAAATAATGCTAGTCGTTCAAATAATTTTCAAATACGCAGTAATTTAATCTGGTTTTGGTGTTTTTCTAACAGCTATAGCTTCAGGAAAAAAATAGTTTTGTTAGTTATTGTACTGAAACTGCAAAAAAATATGTTGAATTATATGGTTGGTTCTTTATGTCAGCCAAAGTCCACAAAATTTTAATTCATGGCGGAGATATTATTGACAATGCTTTGGTACTTATAGGGCAATTAAGTGAGAAGGCTCAGGAAGCTAATCACAAATTATTCATTTCCTACAGGTTAAACCATGCCAGGAAAATATCTAGATGTGCCTTTTACTTGCTTCCGATCCTGTAGTTACCAGGGACAGGTCTATAATATCTTTAAAAAGTAATATCGCTGATCTGTCTTCAGAAGTTTTAGATTTGTTAGACTTGTCTGATGACCTCATATTATAATAAATGTTAAAATTTAAAACAATATTGTATAGACATTATTTAATTATCGAAGAGTTATATTGAGTTAATCTTTTTGTTGTGTTTTTTTTATAAAATGTTAAATGTTTATTGTTCTTTGTCGAATTAACGTTTAAGTCATATATTACATGTTACAGACATGACAGCTGTTACAGAGTTTATAGACAGCTGATAATCCTTAGTATTTCTCTTTTGTATTTTGGAGGGTGTACTTAAAAGTACCTATTTTTTAAAATTGTCCGTCATCTTCAACTTTCATGAAATATCAATTTTGACATTAAATTTGTATATTTCAAAGCATTGGCATTCCAAAATTACCACAAATAATAAAATCGGACCAAAAATGTTTGAGTAATGAGCAATTTTCAAAGGCTCATGTTTGTTGACCACCCTATATAATAAATTATTAATCTATAAAAAATATTTTTTCTAATAAAACACAAAGTTCCTCCTCTCCAAAAAAAATCAAAACGAAAAAATTTGATAACAATGAAGCAAAGTTATGGGCTTTAAAAAAAATGGTTTTGGTAAAACACGCTATATTTTTAGGGCGCCCTATATATGGTTTAAGTTATGTAAGGCAACAATTTTTTGTTATAATTTAAGACGTCCCTCTTTACATAATATTACAGCATAATATATAAATAATTTTAAGTTTTCCAGATTGAAAGTATTAAGTAAAAAACCACATGTCCAACCGCTCCCATAAGCTCGTTCCACTGTGCGGCGTGAAATACATAGTGACAAATTTCTGATTTCTGCCGTATACAGCGCTGCGGACGGAATTTTTTAAAAACGACTGAAATGCACCAAGCCTATAGAGGCCGTTTTAGAGTATATGTAGGTAATGTATATTACGTAATACGTAATGCAAAAGCACATTACGCTCCCCTACTCATTAAGTTGTATGACAGTATACTAAGTACAGTAAAACCCCGGTTATCCGAGGTAACGTGGGGGGACACCCTCCTCGGATAACTGAAAACTCGGATAATTCGGATTTATTAAAATATAAGCACCAATACATACTTTAAACGGTTTATTTAACATTTTTAACATGTAAATACATAAGTACCTACCCAAGTAGCAAACAGAAATTCTAAAAGGATTGAATTATTTTATAACAGTCGAATAGCGTTGTCTTAAGGACTGCTTGATTTTATTAAGCGTTTGGTTTCGACCATTCTGCTTTTTAATAAAAGTTGTCATATTAAACTATTTTCTAGTGGTTTTTACAACGTATCCTATAACGCATTAAACGATAATTTCTTTTAGTATGATATAACACTTAATAAGACAATGCTATATGATAACAAACATATTATTTTATTAGACTCTTATAGCCACCATGTAAGAGTTCTATAATATTCATATAACAAGTAGTCATAAGACCATATAATAGTTACTTAAACTTGTCTTATTAAAGTTGTATTACGTTGTATGATAGAATCTTTTATTGCGTTAAACTACGGTGCTGTATACAACACCAGTTATATAGCCTTATATGATAAAATTGTGATTAACAAAATAAATTCGCTGTAATATCTGCATTATAAAACTGGTATTGTATAATATAACCTCATTTTAAATTAAATGGTATACCTAGTTATTTATTTTGTTATTGTTGTTGTTGCAAAAGTAATATCTACGTACGAGTATAATCTATCACAGCTATTATGAATTCTGGACAAAGTTGGAAAAAAGTTAACAAACGCAGTGGTAGTTATAAAGAGCATGTAAGAGAAAACTACGGTTCTCAAAAGCCAAAATCTCTCGGGTTGTCCGGCTTCTTCAAAGCATTGTTGCCACGTTAATGTAAAAGTTTTACTGTAGTAATGTTTGTATTGCTTTATTGTTGTTTTTCCAAGTCCTTAGTTTGCCGCTCACTCGTCGGGCACGCATGAAATGCATTGCGTGCATGAATCCATGAAAATCTGATCATGTTTGTTAGTTTAAATACTAATCAAATGAGATTTGGCAACATCTATTTTAACATTCAACATTTTTTTTTTATGATAGATATTTATCCTATACCGTTTTATTTTACAACAAAGACTTATTTAAGGGATTCATTTATAATAAAATGGTTGCATTATAATTCGCCATGTTTAAGGCAGAATTTTTGTATGGCCTATGACCGCCATTATATGAAGCAAAATTAAAAACATCAAAATAAATTGTAAAATGTTATTTTTTAGAACTATTGTGTGATAAGATTCCCACACACAGTAATAAAGTGTTTAATTAAATTAAAAACAAGAATTTTTGAAAATTTTATTTTATTGTTTAAATTTATATGTAAACCTTAATCGAAATTAAAGCGCTTTAATTTTTTGCCAAATACATACCTATAATCTACCAGTAAAATTTTCGGCGCAACAAAAATTGTCCCTACTTTTCAAACCCTATTAATGATTTTTTATATTACATATTTGTTGTACCTTCTGGCTCTACCCGCCATTTTCATTGTCGAGTAAAGTCTCCTTTTTAACAATCCACATCCTCTAGATTCATTTTACGACACGCTTAAAATATAATTTGCTCCTAATATTATTCGGTAAAAAATAAAATACTCTTGTACCTCGCTAAATGATCAAATGTTTTTATTGTTCTGTTTCTTAGATATGACCACGTAATACACAATAAAACTAGTTTTATAATAGTCATATAACGCTGTGTAAAATAGTTGCATAGGAGTTGTATACCCTTTTTATAGAACTTCTATACTACTAAACGGTTGTATAAAAATGGACCTTTTTTGGTTGTAAAGCTATCATATTACGGTCATATAGCACGTTACATGAATTGAGGTATCCTATAAAAATTATCACATAGCTGTTTATACAGCCTTTATAAAATAAAATTTTCTACTTGGGTACATAACATATTTGTAGATACTCTATCTACATTATAAAACAGTGAAATAAGTATCTATGCGCTGCTGTTTCATATTGCATCTTCTTTTTCTCGCTGCCATGTTTCTCCTTCTGTTAAGAAGAAGCAAATCCGCTGGGGTTGCCTCTGATTGTTGTTCTGTTGTTGATATACCTCAGAGCTGTTTCCAGAGAAGCAAAACCTTGATGGGTAATCTTAGTGGAAGGCTGTTCATCCACCTCTTCGTCATAGTTATCGTCATCTGATTTTCAGGTTTCGCGAAAGGCGTTCGCTATTTCTTCAATATTCATTTCTTCTTCTAAATCATCTGCTGTAACCCATTCATCAACGTCTTATCTTGTCACATTTTCGCAACCTTTCCAGTTTTGCATTAATTCTAATAAACTTTCTTCTTCTCCTGTCTCGTTTAAATTTGTACAGGACATTTCTCCACGGCTTTTCCATTTCAAAGCCAATTCATTTAATGGAATATCATCTTCACTGTCATTATAGTCCTCAATATCAATAACTTTCGACCAAGATTTTTGAATAGTGGAACCGCGTACAGAATCCTAAGCTTGGCTTACCCAGTAAATAACATTTTTTAGTGTAATCTTTCTTATCCCAGTGATAATATCCTCTTTTTTTCTGTGCATTCTAGTAGATGTTCAAGATATAAACGCCTATAATTTTTTTATGTTTTGGAGGACGCCCTAGTCCATTGGTTGCATTATGCTGGTTACATTTGGAGGAAAAATTTTACAACAATTTCGCCCACGTGGAGTCCTTCTCCAGGGTGAGAGGGAGCATTGCCCATTAACAAAATTGCTTTAATAGGGAGACCGTTTCTCTTCAAAAATTTAGTCACAGATGGCACGAACTCTTCTTTAAACCAGTTAGTAAATAACGTCGCATCCACAAATGCACTCTTTTGACTTTTGTAATAAACTGGTAGAGCTTTGGGTGAGATGTCTTTTAACGCTCTTGGATGTGCAGACTTGCCAATCACCATAAGTGTAATTTTGTGCTTACCAGATGCATTGGAACATGCCATTATGGTTAATCTTTCCTTACTTCTTTTGTGCCCAGGAACTGATTTTTCCTGTCGAGATGCCAACGTATTTGATGGAAGCATTTTATAATTCAAACCACTTTCGTCACAGTTATAAATTTGATCACATGTATACCCACAATCTTTGATTAGCTTTTTAAAGTCCTGTTTAAATTTTTCAATTGATGACACATCAGCAAAAAGTTTTTCTCCACATATATTCAATTGTCGTACACCGTACCGTCCAGGTTTCCAGCGGTCAAGCCATCCAGAACTGCCGGTAAACCTATGTGTCTCTGGAAATTGCTTACTAATCATTATTACTTTCTGCTGTAAAATGGGACCTGACAGAGGCATATCTTTTTATCTTTGCTGAGTAAACCACGTGAGTAAAGCTTCGTTAACTTTTTCATAGTCGCCTTTTTTCATTGATTTTCTTCTTGAAGACGAAGGGGCTTGTTTTATACACCATTCTTCTATTTTAGTGCGGTTTCTGATCCAATCTTCAACTATTACCTTATCTACTCCATAATCTCGTGCAACAATTTTAATTGTCTCTCCTGCTTGAATTCTCCTAATGGCTTTTAATTTTTCTTCAATAGGAACGACAATTCAATCTTCGTTTAAGGCCTTGGGATTTATTGTGCGTAATACTAGAGATTTTAGCAATAGTAACACATTAAAACTACTCTATTATGCTTTTGTAAGATCAAAGCTAGAGTATGCATCAATTGTATGGTCGCCGTTTTATGCGGCACATATTAATGCTCTCGAGCAGGTACAGCGTCGTTTTCTGAAATATCTGAGTTTAAGAACTGATGGGGTTTACCCGCAAATTGGCTGCTGTCACAGCTCTTTATTGCAGAAACATTCTCTAGATTCCTTGGAGGTTCGACGGACAAATTCAGAGCTGAAATTTTTATACAAGTTATTACATAATGAAATTGATAGTCCGGATGTTCTCAGTCAAATCAATTTTCTGGTCCCACGTAGCTCTCGGTATAGCTTTACATTTTATGTGGCCTCCTCGCGCACAAATGTAAGTAAATATTCGCCATTGAAACGTATGCAGGATGCATATAATTTATATCAGTGTAATTTTGATATTTTCAGCTGCAGTTTGGTTTATATTGTTGTTGTTTTTTTTTTCATTGATATGTATTTTTTCTCATTGATGTTATTTTTTGTTTAATTTAATTATTTTGTATTGAATTTTTTTTTGTGTGTAACCCACTCTGTAATTGGCGTAAGCTGTAGAGTGTTGTAGAATAAATAAATAAATAAATAAATAAATAAATAAATAAATTCTTTTACGTTTGTTTTGTTCCATTATAATACGGCAAACGAAAATTTAAACAATGCAGTTGGTATACACTTAACTAGAACTCCACCCAGATAAATCATGCGAGTACATACGTATACTACTTCTCCGTAGAATAACGAAGTGCATTCACTCAAATTTACATGCTAGAAGAGTCCAAAAATATAAATAAGGGGAACCACTCACACGGGCCAAGGCGATTTCCCGTCGGTCCCAACGATTTTAAAGGGAAATATGTAAATATACATATAGTATATTTTAGAAGCTCGGTTAATACGGAGCATAGACGCGCGACCTCGGATAATCGGGATCTTTAGATTGGATCGGTTAATCCGGAGCTCGGATATTTGCGACTCGGATAATTGGGGTTCTACTGTATTACATAATTCTTCATTCGCCCTATATATATTCAAAAATATCATTCTTAAGACTTCTATCATGAGGGTTAAGACGTTCTATAAACAAAAATATTATCCTAGCAATAACATTTAAATCTTTTCAGAATAACTGTTTCCACATCATCGAGTTCCTCCATTTAAATGGAGATTTGTCGAATGAGTTTATATCAAATAAAAAAAATATAGAGTAAAGGGAGAAAGGTCTTTATACAGAGCGGTCATAGTGTTCAAAGATTTTAGGAACTTTGAGTTTTTGGACAATTATAGAGTTTTATTAAAGTATAGTCTGTCTAACAGCAGAGCCCCTCTGACTGTATCTGTCATTTTAATTCAAAGGCAAATTTTATTTTCTGTCTTTTTTTGGACGTTGTCTGTCGAAATATTCCCTGACTCATTGGACATACTTTACTTGACTTAAGTTGATTAGATGTAAAAAAATGTCTATACCTTTGTGGCGGATTCATCTCTCCAAAAAATCCTATATGGGGTTTTCGCCCACTGCAAGAAAATCTACAAAATAAAATAGTTATTTTTTGTAAACCTCTGCGTTAATCCAAACGGAAACTACATGTGAGAAGTTAGGTTTACAGATATACAAATTGGCTTAACGAACAAAAAAATGCTTAACGTTTCGGAAAGTTAACAGAACGTCAACGGTTTTTGTAGACGTATCTGTTTTAAAAAACTAAAGTGTTCCCGAATAGTTGAATTTAAATATTATAAATAGTTGTTTCTATATTATTTGCATTTTTTTTTTGCTTCCGACGATGGAAAGAGATAAACTTTCCGAAACGTTAAGCATTTTTTTAATCGTTAGGCAAATTTGTATATCTGTAAACCTAACTTCTGACAAGTAGTTTCCGTTTGGATTAGCGCAGAAGTGTTTACAAAAAATTAACTATATTATTTTGTAGATTTCCTTGCAGTGGCGAAAAACTCATATAGGATTTATTGGATAGATTAGATATATTTTTTAATAAATTAGTCTAATATTTTTTCTAACTTAGTATACATAAATTAAGATTAATTTCTTTTATCAATCTCAATTTATACATAAATTAGGATTGATAGACGTACTTAATTATAGTCTTGGTCATTTCCCGTTTCACCCAAAAATGACTACAACTTTTGATTTTTAGACGGTCCCTCAGTATTTTTTACTTTATTTGATAGGACATGACATTCTTAACAGAATAACATATCATAGTCAACTTTCGATATTTTCATTTAAAAAAAAGTATTTTAAATTTCAATCTAGAGTACCATAGCTGTGTTAATACTACTAATTTTTAATCAAGCAGTCTTGGACAAATAAATTTCATGGTCCAATATTTTTCGTGTCATTTTCTAGCCAGTTAGAAAATGTCAAAATCGTATTTTTAATCATAACTCAATTTTTTTCAAATGGAACGAGTCTGGCTCATTAGCATATTCAGAAAAATATTTTTTTATGAGTAATTTGGTACCGCATACTCAAGTCAAATTTTCGTTATATTTATTGTCGTGTCCCTATAGATTAAATTTTAAATTAAAAATGTCAAAAGTTGACATATTCTTTCAACACTTTACAGACAATCAAAAGGACGAAATAAGTAGTAAAACTAGTAATATTATTTCAAATTTTAAGAACAAAATAGAAAACCGAAAGAAAAATACGGAAATTTACAAAAATCTATATAAAACAAAAAAAATTCTTAGCCAAAACTCCCATTTAAAAGTTCTAAAAGGCGACAAATGTAACAAAATGGTAATAATGACGTCAATTCACTATAACAAAAAAATGAAATAACTATTAAATGATAAGAAAACATAAAAACAAATCAAGCAGGACCTAACAAACACACAGCAAATTAAAAATAACGAATTAATCGATAAATGAAAATAGAAAAAAATATATTTCACCCAATGTTGCAAAAGCGCCAAAAATTCACAATGCTATGCCCCCAAAAATATACGGACTCCCCAAATTACACAAAGAAGGCATCCCATTTTATCTAGAATGTAATTTCCTATGAAGTAAAAAAAAAAAAGAATGCCGAGGGTACCATTTAAAAATTAAAAGTTGTAGTAGTTTCCGGTGAAACAGGAAGTGACCGAAACTAATTGAATACGCTAATCAATCCTGATTTATGTCGTACACTGACGGCCAAATCTCATTTTTTATCTAAAAAAAGAAGAATGACATAGGAGTGGGCCACTCTTGAAAAATACCCGGTTTTACCAGTTTTGAAGATAAATATTACAAAGTAGTAGTAAGCCGGTATATCGTTTATAATTTATAACTTTTGTTTTTGATACGCCGCTACTGCTCTACTATTTTTAGAATTTTGAAGTAATTAAAAATAGTAATTTTTATCCCCTAAAAACAATTATATTTTATATTACAGATGGTATAAAATCTAATAGGTCTTATAATTGATTGTAGAATGCATTAATATTCGTAGAATGTATTTTTTTGACAAATAAACCGAACTAATAAAATATTTAGCATTTTATTAAAAAAACATAAATTTAATCTAAAAATAACTTTTTTTAGTTATTATATGTTAAACTCTCAAACAGGAAACTCGATACAAACTTATATCCGAACAGTGCTACCCTGTATATAAAAACGGGATAAACTTATTGGTTAAACGGGCATAAATATACATAGAGCTGATCTTGTTGGTGCGGAAAATGTTGGAAAATAGGCCGTTCGACACGTTTTCCGCTTACAAAGGGTCGAGGAAAACTTCTTCGAGCCTTGTTTGAACGAGAATTCCGTGAAAATATGGCCGGGGATTATTTGTTTTTTTTTATCCGTGGGGAGAATCTGAAGAGAGGGTATTAAAGAGTTTCTGTTGTTTGGCGTGATGTTGTGAAACACCAAATTTTGCCGTTCCTGCTATGTAATGTCATTAGGTTACACCTTTATATATTTTTTTACTTAATTTTTACTAAAATAAAGTAATAAAACGTACTAAGTTGCCTTTTCAATAATAAAGGGCCATCTTGTGTCGGAAACACTGTTTAACCCATGTGAAACAGCACTTACTCTATATTTATAATAGACAGAGAAATAATAAAACAAGGATTAAATTAAATAATATATAATTATTTGTATAATAATAGTATAAGTGTAACAGTTAAATTTGATCGCTATGACCTCTGTGAGCTGGCTCATAAATTATCGCAAATAACTATTATTTTTGCATCATGTTTACTATAATTTTATTGTTAAATATTATTGTACTAGTTGAAGCCTGGCGCATCCGCCACGACATCAGAAAAAAAGATACTTTTTATTTTTTGTTTAATTAACTGAAAAAACAAAAAATCCGGTGACGACAGTTTTTAGAAGAGCCTATTAGCTATCTTTTAGTAAAAAAAGCAATTTTCTAGAGTAAGTCGTTACTTCAGTAGAGACGACACAGATAAACATTAGCATTTTATATATGTAGATTTAAAAATTTTACGATTATGCAACCCGATATACACCGCGATATTATACAGCCACAGAATATTGTCGCTGGATACCGCCCAGCATTAGAATTTTGTCCATCTCTCTTTATCTTTGATATTACCTGTCCGTCACTTGTCACTGTCAGATCAAATCAGAT